TCACGTATCCCAATTCTACTATATAATGTTTTCTGCTTGGAACGGATATATATATATATATGTGTGTGTCTTATATAGAATGAGTAAATGTATATATATATATATGTATACACAAGAAGTATATACATATATATATATATATGCAAAATTAGACACACACATGCAATATATATATATATATTATGTGCACACGTATTTGAAATATATTGGCGAAGTCCATGATGCCATTGGTCCTTAAAGTCATTAATAAACAGGTTGTCTCTAAGGTGGGAACAATATTGAACATTCCGTATTATCTCTACTTAAGGAATGACAATAATTTTGATGTGGGTGTGTCTGAAAATGAGGTATACCCATCAAATGGCCATAAATTTTGGAAAAAAAAATGGAAAGCTGATGGTGAACAATGAAGATTAAGGTTCGTTTTTACCTAAATTTACGGACAAAACCCATACAAAAAAAAAAAACATGTTGGTTTTTAGGCCATATATATATAATCAATTAATGGTATATACATATAGATACCATGGAGGATATTTCCCATATTTCCATGTTGCTATTATATAATATATTGTTATATATATAATATATTATATATATATTAATGAACATATGAATGTATATAACAATATATTCCCATACATATATATATATATATATTATATATATCACTTATATATATATAATTATACAAACATATTTCCGGTAGGGCTGGGTGTCCCAGCTCCGCCCTCTCGCTCTCCAGCAGATCCGCTTCCATGCTGGCCATGATGCCCTGGAACGCGAAAAGGTGAAGGTTGTGAAGGTTGGGAACATAGGTTTTTTTCATAGGAAAACCATTGGAAAACCGGTTTAACCACCATTGGGGATAGAATGGGGATAGGATTTGGAGCTGATTTATGGCTAAGTCGGTTAAGTTGAAACACAGAACTTGGTGAACGTTTGAGTTGATAAATGGGCTATATAAATATAGTATTTAAAGTATTTATGGGTGAAACTAAACCAAGCAGCATAACTGGGGTGAGGCCCTTGTATGTGTATTTGTAACTTTATGTGTTGATATGTTTTCATCATCGAATGCAAACTACGTATGCGCATGCATGCACAAAAACTCACTATTGTATGCATGCATGTATGTATGTATGTATGGATGTGTGTCTGTATGTATGTATGTATGTATGCATGCATGCATGCATGCATGCATGCATGCATGGATGTATGTATGTATGTATGTATGTATGTATGTATGTATGTATGTATGTATGTATGTATGTATGTATGTATGTATGCATGCATGTATGTATGTATGTATGTAATGTATGTATAATGTACGTATATAATGTATGTATATAATGCATGTATATAATGTATGTATATAATGTCTTAATGTATGTATGTATGTATGTATGTAAGTATGTATGCATGCATGTGTGCATGTATGCATGCATGCATGTGTGCATGTATGCATGTATGCATGTGTGCATGTATGCATGTATGCATGTATGTATGCATGTATGCATGTATGCATGTATGCATGTATGCATGTGTGCATGTGTGCATGTATGCATGTATGTATGTATGACATGTAATGTATGTAATGTAATGTTATGTTATGTTATGTTATGTTATTCCATGTTATGTTATTCCATGTTATGTTATTCCATGTTATGTTATGTATGTGTGCATATGTTTAACTATTTACGTAATTGATCATTTTACACATATAATACGTATATATAATAACATGTATGCACACTTCGGGCATACAATGGTGGACGCTCTGTCACAACCCTATCACTTACTGAGCAGTCATGAATCAAAGCGCTACGATGCTAAGACATGATTCGCCCATTAGATGGGCTTGAAACAACAAACCTGATTTTACGAGGCTCGAACCAAGCACGCTTACTCAGCTATTTGCCCTTGCACTTCCAGTTGCATTTTTCCTCACACCCCAAGCCCCAGAACTCACCCAACCACATGTGTGAGGACCGGCTGCAAATAATACAGTTGCCCACTTCAAATATCTCTTAAAACTATCTCATACAGTACTACATAATTGGTATATGATGTCATCAATAATGCAGTATTATATCATGGGATATTCTCAAGAGAAGGATAGGACACGTACAGTCAGAAGTAATCCGAGTGTTCAACTTTGCATGTTTCTCCAAAGGGCAATTGCTCATGGAGAAATTGATGAGAAACCTGTAGATTTGGGGTTTACGTAATTTTTGGACACACATATATAGATGTATATAGATTCGATAATTATAGATATATCTGGTGTGATATTCCCAAACATTTAGATACTTGAAACTTGAAACCATTTAGAATAACCACACTTTTGCAGGTCCATTGATAGCCGATGTCTGGCCCAACATCCAAAAACCTTCCCGTACCCTCCTTGGATGTCCTCAGAACGATGGACATGTACCTTAAACTCATGGCTTGCACTCCTAAAATAGTCGAATTCTGGATGATTTGCGGGTAGCACTATTTTAGGAAAACACAGCAGCCCCCAGATACAAAAGTTGCAAACGTGGAAATACTGGGGAATGCATCATATATAAAATAATCGAAGCACTATGAAGCATGTTCATATTTTTAAGGGACCTCTACAGATTACTGTATAGTTCAAACATGGCATGGCAGTTGAACATTTATTAATTTGGTTTCTGTGAGCCCACGAACAACATATATAATATAATCATAATTATCATTGTTACTAATTATCATTATTATATATTATTCTTAGATATGTTTATTGTTGTTACTATAATTATTATTGTTACTTTTCTGATATTATGATAAATATTATCATATGGGTATGGGTCAATACCTATAGATACATTTTTAGTGGGATGAACATCCATCAATCCCAGCTATTTGATGTTCACTAGGTACCAGGGTTTTGACCCATCCCCATATCCAAGTGCTTTGTAGGGGTCTCATGTTCTTGGCGTAGGAGAAATGCTTTCCCGCGCCTCCAGCTCTTGCAGCACGCCGTCTTGCCGCTCCTGGCTCGTTGAGGCTCGCTGTTCACGACGGACGTAAACGGATGGTGAGATTTGCACAGAAAAATGTGGCGAAATTCCAAAATTTTATAACTCAGCTAAACTATATAGAAAACCATAGAAAAATGTAGTTTGATAACTAGAACATGGGATTCTTTGGTGAATTTAAACGATTTAAAACTGAGCAATCACATAAAACATGAAGAAATTTGGTTACAGTATCCAGAAGCTATGGTTGGTGCTGTAAATGATGTATTTGGATCATAGTTTTTTCGAATCGTTCTTTGGTGTACACATCCCCTCTGATCATTTGTTACATGGCTGTATAGCAAATCAGCATATTTAAAAGGTCGGTCATCATGATGTTTATCATCTATAATTTATAGCCATGTTCCATAGCTATCTTGAATTATCATCATAAATCATCTATAATTTATAGCCATGTTCCATAGCTATCTTGAATTGCTGGGTGACCATTCATCTGAATCTGGTTGGTGGTTTCAACCCCTCTTAAAAATATTAGTCAATGGGAAGGATGACATCCCATATATCATGGAAAATAAAAGCCATGTTCCAAACCACCAACCAGTATATAGATAATCAAATACAAAAAGGTGATTTACAGCAATGTATGTGTCCCCTTTCCCGCAGAAATGTACCTGGATGATGCGTATTGCCGAAACAGTACCTTCGTTGAGACTCTGGGATTCACCAAAAATGCCGTGCCAATGCACTGCCGTTTGCACCATCGCCATCACCAAATGTTTATGGCTGGTATAAACCATCACCAAATAGTATAGGTTTATCATGATTTATCATAAACCTATATTATTTGGTTTTGGTTTATACCAGCCATAAAGGATGTTTATGAAAACCCACATGGACCTTCGGCGCTGACATCGACGAAGGAACACCCCCGAACTAAGAGTTTGACCTTGCAATGGTCTGTTCAGTATTTGGCCCTATCAGACTATCATATATCACTATGACATACGAATAAATCATGACTTTCCTGTTTTATATCGCATTAAAATAATATCCCTATGTCACGGTAGTTGAAAGCCTTGTTGCGCCAAGAAACCAGGCTGTACAACGCATCCAGAGATCTGCCGCCCTCTAAATTCCCCGGTCGTTCTTTCGGCCGGCGACAAGGCACTTCAAAGCCATTGGTGTCGCCGCCATTGCTTCTGTAAACGCAGGGGTCACATTGGTCTGCACTGTAGACCCTTTCCCCCAGCGATCTCAAACATTCATTCACAAGGGCCGATTTCATACATCTCATCAAAGAGCTTCAGCATCCGAACCGTTCATCTCCTTTTGGAGCCCTCCTCGAAACACCAGCCTTGCAACAAGAAAAGAATCCTCCCCAGTGACCCCCTCCCATGTCCTGCTCCACATCTTCCGCAATCTCATCCATCCCGGAGCCGGACACCTGACCTTGGAACGCGAGAAAGCAGTGCGCGAACCCCCAGAAGATCTTGAGAACATAACTCAGTTGAAATGGATGTAAAGATGATACTGCAATATACATTAATGTACTGATATATATATATACTAAGGTTTCGGGTCAAGCCCCCCTCGATTAGCTTGAACCCTGTGTAACCTAAGCGGCAATTTGCGACTCTTTGCCGCGGGCTTCTTTGCTATTTAGCAAGCCTTTTTTGGACATCCTGGACATCCTTATTGACCTGTGCTCTGTACATTGATTTATCTGTGCATTCACTCTCACATTTGGTACTGTCCTTTGTCTTGTGGCGTCCCGGAGCCCAAAAACACCCGGGTGGTGGTGGCATATCCTATTCGCAGCTTCTCAACTGGTTTGCCCTGGAATCTGCGATTGGACTTTTACCCCATCATTTTTGACATTGACCTGATTCTCGGGCTTGCGCATCTCATTGTGTATAACCTGACGATCGGGCTTCTCTGGCATTTTGCACTGGGTCCTCTATTTCTTTGAGTATCTCGAGGTTCTCGGGCTTTTTCATGGGAGCATTGGCTCTCTTCAATTTTGTGTCATTGATCTACATCATCGGTTTTCTGTACGCCTGCCTTGTTGGTGTTGAGGAGGTATTCATCCAGCACGACATTGGCAACCAGACGACGAGCCTCTCGCAGGCAACGAGCATCTGCTCGGAGGAGGTGGCACTTGCACAGACAGGGAGTGATTCAGCTTTCGCAAAAGCAACTGAGCAGGATCTTTGTTGTTCTCCAGGGGCATCACTCAAGAGACTTCAATTTCCTACGCACCATCGTTGCTACGATGGCGACTTCGAATCGACCTCCGTGGAAATGCAGTGTTTGCAAACAACTTCGCAAGCACAGTGCGATGTATTGCAACACATGTCACCAGCCGTGGCAAAATGTGATCGATCATTCCTTTGTGCACGGTCAAAAGCAGCCGCAGCAACAGGAACAGACTCATCAATACCAGACCCCATGGCAAGGACAACAAGATTGGCAAGCCCATTGGAATTCTACATCTGCTCGCGGCAGAACTCCTTCACCGCGACAGAGACAGAGACCACGCAGTGCCAAGGGCAACAAAACACCGAAGAATACACAGCAAGCAATGACACAGCCGACACCGCCCATGATGATGCCGGCTATGCCAAATCCATACATGGGTCCAGTTCCACAAATGCCCATGATGTATTCTCAGCAGCCAATGATGTTTCCAATGCAAGGAGCCCTACCTCCCTTGCCGCCACCGGATGTTCCTTGGCAACCATCGACCGCAACACAGAACATGGCCAAAATGCCAGCGCCTGTGCCCACATCTTTGGGTATGCCATCGCCATCGACTATGCCAACGATGCCAGCACCAGCCATGCCGAAGATGCCGGCGGGAGCAACGCCATCAGTGGCAGAGACCGACGAGGAGGTGAGGGGACTTATGTCCATGATGAGAGGCAGACAAGCAGAACTGCCGGAAGACATGCAGAAGAAGGTGCAAAAAGTCTTGACAAAGTATGGACAACAGGCCTCCACGGACCTCCATGCTGCTGTGACGGCCCTGGACACTGCCCGCAACAACTACGACGAGGCTGTGCTTGCCAGGAGTCAACATCATGCGATGTGGAAAAATTCCTATCCGATGCAGTTCAATTATGGCAAACCTATGCGGCTCAATTTGTGGATCAAGAACGGAAACTCCAGGAACAAGTGAGTCTTCACAAAGAATCCCTCATTGCTGCCAAGCAGGACTTGGAGAAATCCAAGGTTGCCAAACTAGGAGCTGGAGATGTACAACACATCGCATCGGACGAGGAGGCAGAGGACCAAGATGCCAACACCTCGAGCAATGCGGCGACCAAGATCACGGAGACAACGCAAGGACTTGCCAAATCCTTGCAATCCCTCCATCAGGAGGCAGAGGCCATGGTCGCAGAAGAAGCACATGCTGCCAAAAGGCAAAAGATGATGCCACCAAAAGACGAAGACCAGCCCATGAACGCAGGTCTTGGCACTGGCTCGCATTTTGGCCAGGCTGGCTGAGCATGACCCTTGGGTATGCCAGTCGGGAGCCTTCATGGCAGGACATCACCTTTATGCATGATGTCAATGTGCTCAAATGGTCACACAGCATTGTGAATGAGGAAAACTTTATCAACGAATGGGCTGCCATCGAAAATGCACGTTCCCTAGCATTTGACCTTGGCACCTACAATGGAATCTTCCCACTTGACATGAGGCTGAGTACTGTTTCCGCCAAAGCCATATCATCACACAGGAGATTGGGTTTTGCTCCTGACGTTGACGTTCTGATTGGCATGGAGGATGAGCTGACCATGTACAGGACTGTGGTCTCTGACATTTGCCTAGGCACAGGTTCTATGCCCTGGCGACAAGGTTTGCTCAGAGGAGGCACATACCAGCCCTTTTCGAGTGAGGAACTCCCAGACTCTTGGGACAACCTTTTTCAAGATGAGGAGACTTCGAAGTGGAATTGGACAGCTTCACATCGAGATCCTCCGGTTTTGCAAGCACCACGACATGATCCAACATCAACATCGAACACGATCCACAGCCCTGATCCTTCACATCCCACTGACAGAGACATGACGAGATCTCTGCGTGTCTCCAATCCAATTCCAAGATGGGGACATGACCTTCTTGCACTACTCGAACAAGAGGGACAAGAAGACGATGATGAAGAAGGCTTGGTTGTGTTCGTCAGCTCTTTCTACATTGATCATGAGAGAGTCCTGTTCCATGATGAGTCCCGCATTTTGCGCTTTGACAATGACTACAACGAATGGGAAAACTCTATACGGTTTATCTGGGAAGACATGGTAGACCCAAACGTGCCCATCGAAGTTGTCATCGTGCGGCCAGAGCCTCCCCAGCATCCACATAGAGGAACTATGGCCACGGTCATTGTGCATCAAAATTTGCGACCGGACAGGGCAGCATGTCTTGTGACCGCGGTCCACATCATGGATCCGACCACTACCTTTCAGCATACTGCACATTCCATGGAGCTACAGATGTCCCCAGCACGAATCTTTCAACTTGCTAGAGTTGATCAAATCTGTCAGCAACGTCAACGTCAAGGAGCTGGTCGCTGCACGCTGCATATTGGACATCATCGACATCTTGACCATCAATTTGTTGCGACCTCTCATGGATTGGGCATGCATATACGTATTCCCACCACGCTCACGGATTTTGAAGCCGAACAAAATCTGCTCAGAAGAATCCAACAACAGCGACGAGGAAGAAGAGGAGATCCATGGGACCCTGCAGATCATCAGGATATTCCGCCTGAGAATACGCACCCACCTATTGATCCATCCTCTGCACATCCGGAAGATGAAGTTTCCTTCATGGGCAGAAGACCAAGAAGGCTACACAGCATTGTCGAAGTATCATCTTCAACATCGCCTGAAACCATCTCTTCAACGGAATCCTCCACAGACTGGAGACAGACAGTCATCTTCACCCTGGATGGAATGTCGACGTCTGCTCAATTGCCTTGGCATGATATGGACCTTCTGTATGAACAAGCTGCAGTTGCACTTGAGTTGAACAGAAGAGACATCCTACGTGTTCAAGCAGTGCACAGACCTCTGGACTACATCCAGGTGAATTTGTACAGTATGATTCTCCAACGGGCACATGAATTCCGACCTAATCCATATGTCCGTTTGACACTTGTGGACATGGAGCTGCACGTTGCCAATGAGATTCAATCGTCGCCCTTTCGGCGCTACCCCAAATGGCTGCCGTATGTAGCCGACAGGGAAGCACTGGTGCAGACACTTGGACTGGAATCATTGTGCTCCACACAGGAAAGCCCATGCCACATTTGGCGCAACAATGTCATTCTGGACACGGATCCGAGAACAAGACTGCATATTTCTGATGGCGACTACATCAAAGTCTATGTTGGGGACATTGACAATCTTGACATATGCCTCTCTGACATCGACATTGAGTCCCCAGAAGAACAACTTGAAAGCAGCCCTCTCAACGAGGATGAAGAAGAGACGGCCCTTTTTCAACGAGCAGCAATTGCTTTGCAAAAAGCATGTTCTGACACTTGTGTTGCCCTACAATCAGCACAACCTCAACCTGCAGCAGAACATGTTATATCCACACGCCGGCTTCAAGTCAATACCTGGCGAATTGCTCCACAACATGAAAGATCAGGACCACCCATTGGATCATATCCTCAGGGAGTACCTCCGCCACCGCAGAGAGCCTTCAATGCCCAGCTCCACTTTGATGATCGCAGACTCTTTGCTCATTTGTTTGCAACCACCTCCATCATTGAATGTGAAGACGAAGGCCCCATTGCTTACATCGAAACGTGGTACATCCATCATCAAATCCACAGGAGATGCACGGAACCAGGATCTGTACGTATCAGACATGACTCTCCAAGCTGGATTGAGGATATTATTGAACCTTGGGCCACTACCCTTGTTCCTGATTTGGAAGTCACAATTCACTTGGTGAAACCACAGCCTCCCCGCACCAACATGGAGTGCATCATGGCACATTTGATTTTGGAGCAATCCACACGTGTGGCGCACACGGTTGGGATGGTTTCGACAATGATGTCTGAGACTCACAGAGGACCCTTTCATCACAGTGCATACTCTCTTCCTGATATCATGAATCAAGCTTACGTTTTACGACAAGCTGGTCTTCAAGAAGTATGTCGGGATGGACGTTGCAGAGTCAGACTGGGGAACATCCCATTTGGCCTTTTTGATTGGGATGAATTCCCCCGTGCTAGCAGCCTGACCATCCATCGAGAGCAATTCTCCTTCTCCTCACATGCAGATTCTCATGAAGTTTTGGATTTAATGCAAAGAACAACCATGAGATGGAGGCGTCGAGGCACCGACCAGCATGGCTCGAGCGCACAACAACCAGGCGGTGGATGTCTCAACTTTGCCTTCAATCCTCATGCAATGCCATTTGATCCAGCGACTCCAAACTTAGCGTCTGTACCTGAGAATGTACAAGAGCTGCACCAACTTTGGAGCCGAACTGCATTCTCATGGCAGGGAGAGGAAGCTTCTACAATTGTCATGACATGGCTAGTCGATCAATATCATCCTGGCCTACGCACTTGCTTGCAACCGCGACCAGTACGACTTTTTGCAGATTTTCGTCAGTGGACGGCGCAACTCCGCAGTGCATGGCCCGACAGAGCTATCAATGGTGCTCCCATTCTCCTTCATGTTGTTGCACCACCACCGCCAAACATGCAGCACAATGTGGCAGCCCATGTGATCCTGGTTCAAAACCCGCAGGACAGTCTGTCATCGGCTCTTTTTACCGGATTTGATGGGTCACTTCCACAACCTGGACCGTTCATGCAAATGGCTGCCACTACCCATGAGCATTTTCGCTTGGATCAACTTCTTGTATTCATTGGTTTAGGAGCAAGATGTGTTTTTCCTGGAGCTACAATGATTTGCAGGGCGTGGTACGATTTGGTTCAGATTCAGATGGACAGACCATTTCCTCTTCGAGATGGACATGGTATCATCATACATCTCAGCCCGGGGCCAGTTCAGCCACAGCTCAGGGTCGGACGCTCATTACTACAACGTGGTCATCAAATTCATGCAAAAGTGAAAATTGAAGACCTTGACACAGAGTCTGTCTCTTGCGAGCGCCAAACAGCTGATACGGTGGCTCACGATCAGCGGCCGCAAGACAGACTAGAGATCTTTCCACAGGTTGGAGAACGCCGACCCCAAGACTGGACGGATCCTCAACAACGAACTATTGTTCAAGTGGTTTACTCCCACTGGAATACCACAACCATCATGCCGCCGACATACCTGGAACTCAACTCCATCTATTCAGCTGCAGATGTTGAGCAGGAACTACGTAACTGGGGCTTCCAGTACAAAATTTTCCTTTGCGGTGAACATGACACGGTTTTTGCTCTTTCACAACAAGAAGCCTTGCGCGATCACATCTATGTGTACTGTGCGGCCGATTGCACCTTGAGTGAGCCTGTTTTTGTGAACATCACTGACAAAGAACTTCATGAACAACAACATATGCGATATTTGCATTCCAGAGGCTACCACAAAGCGGTGATCATGCAGACTGAACCCTGGATGGAGAAGCTGCAGTGCATCCACTTTCTTGATGTCCAACCAGACCAAGCAGAACTCTTGCGTGACCCACGCCTACGCACTCCATGGCCGGCACGCCAAATGCAACAGTTGACATCAACCACTTTGATCCATACCGAAGTAGCTGATCAGTCCGGCCGATCAACCTGCCACATCCAATTTGACACCCAGGAACTCCGGGCATTCATGGAGGCATCCAATGACATCTTGTGGAAAGACCACTCCCTTTTTGACCTTCCCGAGTTCATCAGAGTGGCTCTGGATCGATGTCAGCCTGTCCAGCGAATTGATCGATATGTCATTTTCACTGACGGATCGTCTCAAGCAGTGCATCGACATCGTCCACCACTTTGGGTTGCAGACAATGATGTGAGCGATTCCTGGGCCTTTGCGGTCTTCGCTGAGCAGTACGCTGAGGACGACACGGCAGACCCTACATTGGAATTTCTGGGCTGGACATGTCAGCAAGTCCTGTATGACCTTGATGCTGCACATTCAATCGGAACCACGAGAATTGGATCGGACTCCGCCGAAACGGAAGCCCTTTTCTGGGCGGGCATGTGGCGACTCAGCCGCAACAACAATATTCCAACGGCTTTTGTGAGCGATTCAAGACTGATTGGAGATCAAGCTGCAGGACGATGTGGTTCTTCCATCAGAGATCAACCATATTACAATCTGCGAGCTGTCTTCCAGGCGCTCGAAGCTGGACTCGGCCGAGAAGGCTTGATGATAGCCCATGTCCGAAGCCACACAGGCGATCCTTACAACGAGCTAGTTGACTGGATAGCAAAACGCGAACCACATCAAAGCCAACTGCTCCCACGACAACAGGTGAACATGCAAAGCTTCACCTCCATCCTACGACACCTGTGGATGGCTGTAGCCAGCACGCCTGACCTACCACTTCTACATGAGGATGGCTTTAGTGTCCCACCTTTTGCACTCCCCATCAGAACCACAGCAAAGGCACCAGAGGCACCTGCTGCCCAAGTTCTCACCCGCTACACCATCAGTTGCGGGACTGCGAACGTTAGAACATTTTACAGAGGGGAACAAGGTCACCCTGGAAAGCTTCAATATGTCCGAGAACAATTCCGTGCATCTGGTCTTCATTTCATTGGAATACAAGAAGCTCGCACAGATCCAGGTACCTCCCTTCAAGACAAGATCTATCGTTTGGCGAGTGGACATGAAGGAGGGCATTTTGGTGTGGAAATATGGATCAATCTGATGCAACCGTATGCCTATCAAGGTCGCCATCCCAAACACTTTCAGCGGTCTGATTTTGTCGTGGTTGACAGGGCGCCTCGCCATTTGTTGGTCCATGTAGTCAATGAGGACATGAGCTTTTGGATCCTATGTGCACATGCACTGCACAGTGGATCTCCCAGTGGTGAACGTGAAACATGGTGGCACATGCTTTCAGAAACCATTCAAAGGCATGCCCAACACGACCCGCTGGTCGTCATGATTGACGCCAATGCTCGCAGTGGACCTGCTGATCATGTCCATGTTTTTGGGAATGACGACGTGGCCAATACCAACACAGCTCATTTCAGGGAGTTCTTGGAGGAACATCAATTATGCATTCCTTCCACTCTCACTCTACATGAAGGACATCAAACCACATGGATGCACCCATCAGAAGATGCGGAATATCGGATAGACTATGTCTTAGTCCCGATTCACTGGGTGACAGACTGCACACAGTCCTGCAGTCTGGACCACCTCGATCTGGGTCACCTGGGAGATCATCGTGCCATGGCCATTGAACTATCATGGCAAGAAGCTGGCCACAAGATGAAAAAGAACCAGAAGATCAAATCCTATGACCGAACAGGTATCCTGACGGCGGATTTGGCAAAAGGCCTTGATGACTATGCTCCGCTACCATGGCAGGCTGACATTGAGAACCAGGTGGACCACTTCAACCAGCATGTGCTTGAAGTCCTGCATCAACAATGCCCAGCCAAAAGGCAAGGACCAAAGAAATCCTACATCTCTGAGCAGATTTGGCAGCTTCGAGCCCAAAAGCTACGGCTCCAACGCACCGCCAAAGACAACAAGAAACGTCAGCAAAAGGAGTTCATGACTCGACTTTTCCAACGATGGGCAGGTCGAATCGACAGTGACCGACAAGAACGATCTGTACAATTTGAAAATTCTTTGGCAGCTCACGGCTTGAAAACACGCATTGAGCTCTACCTCGTCTCCAGACAGCTTCGAGGCGAATTGACTGCTGCCAAGCGTGTGCATGTCAAAGAGATCATCACGGCCCTTCCTCCTGATTGTGCAGCTTCCACTATACTCAACACCCTTAAGCCAGTGATTGGACCGACGAATCCGAAATTACGTCGGACCTCACCACTGCCATGGATCTTGAATGAACAAGGACAACCATGTACAACCCCAACGGAGCTCACCGATTGTTGGGCTGAATTCTTTGGCACGATGGAAGGAGGCCACAGAGTTAGTGCATCTGAACTGCGTCAAGATTGGATTCAAGATCTGAGCACCTTCATGCAGAAGGACTTGGAGCTTCGTCCTGAAGATGTTCCGACCTTGACAGACCTTGAACATGCATTCCGACGGGTTCGACCTCACAAAGCGGTAGGCGATGATCATGTACCACCAGAACTTTGTCACAGACATCCCGTCCAAATGGCAAGGTTGACATTCACACAGATGCTCAAACTCTGTACACACGGCCAAGAAGCGCTCCAGCACAAAGGAGGTCTGCTTGTTGCGGCCTGGGAGCGCAAGGGACCACAGAATCTATGTTCTTCATACAGATCCTTGCTCATCAGCTCTCATGTGGGGAAGACGCTACATCGAGCGGTCCGTGACCATCAAGCAAATGTCTATGAGGCATTCCTCCAACATCAACAGGTCGGAGGGCGACGCCATTTCCCAGTCACCATGGGAGTGCACTATCTTCGATCCACTGCACGTATGGCTCGACAGGCGAAGAGATCTCATGCCATGATTTTCCTGGATCTTCAGGAAGCATTTTATCGAGTCCTTCGACCCATCGCCATTGGTGGCGTCATCACGGACACCCTGCTGGCATCCATTGCGGAGAGATTGAGGCTTCCCACAGATGCAGTCAGTGACCTACATCAACTCCTTCAGTTGCCCGCAGCAACGGAAATGGCTGGACTTCCACCACACCTTTCGAGAGCACTACAAGCGCTATATACATACCAACACACATTTTCGAGTACATGGCCAGACTGATGCCACCCACACTAAGGTAGGCACTCGACCGGGCGACCCTTTTGCGGACGTGGTGTTTGGGTACATGTTCGCCCGTTTGCTGACTACGGTCGAACAGAAGATGCAGGACCTTGACATCTTGGAGACCATCAATGATGTGAGTACACCTGGCCTCTTCCCGGACCTTCATGCAGGGCCCATGCATCAGCACTCCATTTTGGGGCCAACCTGGATGGATGACCTCTGTATAACAGTGACGTCCACCACAGCCCATGGAGTAGAACATAAAGCAGGACTGGCTGCGAGTGTGCTGCTGGAGACGTGCATGAATCATGGAGTCACTCCCAATCTCCAGAAAGGGAAGACAGAGATACTCCTATCCTTCAGAGGACAAGGTTCAAGGGCACTCAAGCAGAAATACTTCAGTCCACAACAAGGCCAGAGGATGATGATCCTGACTGAGTACGGCACCCACTACATTTCTGTCGTGGGCGACTACACCCATCTTGGTGGCCTGACACACCACACCGGCACATCTCGCAAAGAGATGAGAAGACGCATTGCCATTGGCAACAACGCATTCAATCTCCATCGAAAATTGCTCTTTCAGAACCGGGCCCTTTCGGCCGACAAAAGAACCCAACTTTTCATGACCCTCGTGACCAGCAAGATATCCTATGGAACGGAATCTTGGATTCTGGACGATGTCAGATCCAAAACCTATTTCAATGGAGCTATCCTTCGTCTTTACAGAAGGTTGTTGAAGTGCGCACCAGACAGTGCCATTCAAGATGATGAAATCCTTGTGCAGACCCAACTACCAGCTCCAGAAGATCTTCTCCGGATATCAAGGCTGCGCTATGTTGGACTGCTCTACCGCTGTGAAGAGGTCACGCCCTGGGCCCTCATCCGAGCGGATACACAATGGATCCAACAGATCAAAGAGGATCTACAATGGCTCTGGCGTCTCGTTGAGCACACCACCAAATTGCGCAATCCAGAGGAACATTTCCCTGCTTGGGAATATGTGCTCCGCTACCATCGTAGTTACTGGAAGACTTTGCTTCAACGTGGACTTCAATTGTCACAGCTCCATCGACAAGATGACATGCTTCTACGTCGCCTTCATCATGACATTCTTGGACACCTGGCGCACTGGGGACCGCTTCAATTTGCACCAGTACGACCAAATATTCCAATTGAACATCAGACTGGCTACTATGGTTGCATGTCGTGCGGCATTCGATGCAAGTCAAAAGCTGGTGAGGGAGCACATCTCTTCAAAGTCCATGGTATTTGTGCGCGAGAACGCCATTGGATCACCCACACTGGCTGTGAAGTATGTCTTAAAGAATATCATTCATTTGATAAATTACAGGCACATCTTCGTCGGTCGGATCAATGCCGAGCACAACTATGCACGAGGGCAACGCAGACCCCGATCATGCCAGGTATTGGCTCCAGAGACAATGCCATTCTGAAAGCTCAACATGATGATCTACTCCCTGTTCAACAAGCAGCAGGTCCACGAACATTCCAGAAACCTCCAGGTGAAATTGACCTACATCATGTTCACCTATTTGAGCAACTCATTCTGCTGATCATGGACTCTCCTATACTTGTGACAGGTGATTTGCAACACCGGATGAGAACATGCATCCAGACGTATGACATCAGTTGGACGCAAACGCAGCTCACCCTCCGACATGTGCATCAAGCGATTTCCTTGTTAGAGGAGTATGATGCTGCGACACCACGGGCTACTGCACTATCAGCGCTGGAGTTTCTTTTGGAGCCCTCGGCATGGGGATTTCTCACTGAGATCCGGTATGAGACTGCAGGCACAGAGCATCTCCATAACCTGGATCTTTATGAGCAATGGTGCTGCGACTTGGCCACTGCCCCATCACCGTGGAGACCAACCTTAACCTGCCCGCGACCAGTCTTTCGAGAACGAGTAGTCCTTCATGCCTACTCGGGTCGAAGAAGGCCAGGGGATTTCCAGTGGTTCCTTGATGCTCTGGGTCGCCAGCAGAAATTTGAAGGTTTTTATGTAGTTTCCCTTGATATCGTAATAGATTCTACATGGGGCGACATTGGCAATCAGAAGACACAAAGCTTCTGGCTTGAGTCGATGCGTGCTGGCTTCGTGATCGGGTTCCTCAGCGGGCCCCCCTGTTGCACATGGTCCGTGGCGCGAGGGAAGCATGTGGCTGGCTCGCACAGACGAGGTCCTCGAGTCCTTCGCACGGCATCAGCACTGTGGGGCTTCCATTCGGCCTCTCTTAAGGAGAAACGACAGCTCATGGATGGACATCTACTCCTTGGCTTCAGCCTCAAGGCCATGGTAGTCCTGTCCACCGTGGAGAGCTGTGGGGCTTTGGAGCATCCGGCCGAACCAGCCGATGATCAAGCAGCGAGCATTTGGCGGCTGCCCATTGTCCAAATGATTGCCACTTTGCCAGGGTTTCGCCATTATGAATTTGCGCAGGGATTACTGGGAGCAGATAGCGCCAAGCGCACGGGCTTGCTGTCTTTGAATCTTCCTGACCTGCCGAAGTTCCTTCGAGCCAATGCGGTATGTGCCCACCTTCCACGAGCCCAAACCATTGGCGTCGACGAGAAAGGCCAGTTTCGAACAGCGAAACTGAAGGAGTATCCTCCTGCTTTATGTAAAGCGTTAGCAGAGGGATTTTTCTCACATTTTCCACCACCCGAAGAGGTGGTGAAGGCACCTACCCTACCAGCAGATTTTGTTGAGCGTTGCAGACACATGACCTGCACAGCCATGGGCACCAAAATCGGTGCTGACTATGCTGGAGGGTAGGGTGCAGAGGCAAAGACCAGAATTTGCTGCGAGCTGCCGCAACGAGTGATCGTTCCCATGTGCAGTCAGCCAAAAATATATATACTGTATATGATAAATCGGTTGGCTGATTGTTGGAAGTGAACAATTTTGATCATCCTTTTTGGAAAGTAAACCGGTGTGAAACAATATGCAACCAACATGTTAGTTGACGTGACCTCTCGGAGGTTGTAAAAGGACTGCACCATCGAATGGCCATGTCATTTGGTGGTTCCGTAATGGTGGGCCCCGGGCCCCAACATGATTTCTGATGATTTATGGGGAATATAACTATAGTTAATGATAGTTAGTGCTAGTTAATGGCTTTTGAAATAGCCAACTTATAACTGGGGGGCCTCACTTCAAAAACATGTTGACAGGTCTTTACTACCCATGACGGCCGCGGAGGGTGGGGGCAGCATGACCCCCAATTGGAACGTAGAGATGGTTCCCCACACACGAACGAAAGATTCCTGGGTCGGCAAGTGACGATGTTTCGAAAATTACCCTCTGGTAATTTAACGTAGCTATTGAAAATGGTGATTTATAGTGGATTTTCCCATTAAAAATTGTGATTTTCCATAGCTATGTTTATTTACCAGAGGGTAAAACCAGCAAGTTTGTCGATGTTTGGTGGTAAAAACGATCTTAAAACCCAATGGCGGTGAAATCCCTTTTTTCCACAGGGAAAAACCCGCATTTGCTCGCCCTGTGCTGTCCAACTGGAGGGTCTCAGCGGGCTGATTGGAGTTGGCACCTGAGGAACGCAAGCGCGTCGAAGTTGACGCACAGTTCACTTGATGGGTTGACTAGGGTTGACTAGGGGGATGTAACTATTTACTTAGTGGGTTTATAAACCAACTACCCTCTGGTAATTTAACATAGCTATTGAAAATCACAATTTTTAATGGGAAAATCCACTATTAATGGTCATTTTCAATAGCTATTTTGACATAACCAGAGGGTAACAAAACTTGCACGATTGATATTGGTGGACTAAACCAGGTTCAGTGGTGTGAAATATCAATGTATTTGCTGGTTGTTTGGCATGTTGTTGCGCGTCAAACAATATTGATATTCTCTGTATGTCTTGTTGGAAAGCAACAAACATCACCATCGCATAATATATGTATGAGTATATTCATATAAACCTTTAATCCAAGTGGGAATATTACCCACATATACCCACATCATATAACTATGACAGCGTTTTTTCTAGTCATTGTCCACCCACTATTCCGGCTGGTGGTTGAGCCACCCCTGAAAAAAATGCGAATGTCATTGGGGATCTACTGTATACTATATATATAATACATATATGATGTATCTGTATTATATATATATATATTAGTTATATCAAGCTCTGCATTTTTCAAAAGGGTTTGTTCATGCTGAACTGAAAACATTAATACATCGCCTTCTGCCTGCAGGCTACATTCGTATACATTCGTGTTTATGTTGGTTTATGTGGTAAACCTGAAAACAAACCATACCCGTTTTCCAAGACATTGTGTGTAAATCTACAATAAGCGTGGTGAGATATGGTGTGTGTGGGATATGGTTGGGTTCAATCCTGTGTATGCCACGGCATCTCAACAATTTATATATAGCCGTTTTGAAAACGGCGCTTTTCTTTCCACACAAAAACGTTTAACTTCACATATGGGTTTTATTGAACATTTCTTCATTTCTACAAAAAATGTGTCATTTCAACAAAAAAGTATAGTGTCCTTCTTAAGCAAAGAATTTATTCCGCTTTCTAGTATCAATTGTCCTTGCAAAAATACTGCGCACTCATTTAGAATGCATGGTATTTCTTTCAAAAAACATTCTTCTTGCAACTTACGTTGTATCTCTTCTGAAGGGTTTTTTTCCAGATAAAACAAAAATGTCATTCAAGTGTGCAGTATTCTTTGAAAATTGCTGCTTTCTGTCAGGGAATCAGTTTTCACTCAAAGATGCGGTATCTGTTCAAAACAGTAGTCTCCGCCTATGATGCCATATTTGCATGAGGCCTTCTGAGCATCATGCCTCCTAAAAGCAGCTAGGTCTTCAGGGTTAGCCAACGCATATGTAACTATATATATATTCTGTACAGATATAGATTTCAATGTCTTAATATATATATATATATTGTATATATACAATAGACAATTTATATCAAATTATAAACATCTGTCGTCACCTGCAGCTTCTCCGCGCCGACCGTGGACCTCGGCTAGGGCACTGCTGCTTTCACCCGAAAAAAACCATGGTTTCACCAACAGAAATGGAGGGTTAACAGGGTAAAAAAAAAAACAGAAACATGATGATAAGTTGCAAGAATGGAAGTTTCAGCAAGTGTAACCAGAAATGAAGGTTTTTCAGCAGCTCAATGAGGATTTTTGTGCAGCAAAAATAGAGGTTTGAGCGGCAAAAATGAAGGTTTAACATGGTTTAACCAGGTTTAACCATCAACAATTGGAGATATCGTTTGGATTTTAAGTGGATTTTAAGCAACACAAAATCTTCGTTGATCAAAATATGGCGAGTTCACCATTTTTCACAAGGGATGACTGGGTAACAAAAACGGTCTGGTGCTCGGGGTCATCATTGATGGGTGGAGTTCACCAGCAAACGATAAGGAAATTCAACGGAATAGTAGTGATGAATGATGGATATGATGGGATGATAGAATTTAACGATATACCAGTGGTTGGTGGTTTTTCGCCACCCCTCTGAAAAATGATGGAGTTCGTCAGTTGGGATGATGAAATTCCCAACTGAATGGAAAATAAAACATGTTCCAAACCACCAAGCGGACCATCATAAAAACAATGCCAACAGGAAACATCATGATCAACCATGGGAAAAAAACATAATACCCTACGTTCAAACATCTTCAAACAACCCCATGCAAGGTGGTGTTCCAGTTCTTTAGCTATGTTGGTTTATAATTCCGAGAATTGTTGAATGGATGGTACGTATATTGAGCCAGTTTAGTGGATGTTAATGGGGGTTATTTGTGCCAACAAACATAACTAAGGGGCACCACTTTGTGCTGTTAGTCGTAGGGACTTTGAACCAAACCAAAAAGTCCAGAAATATGCTGGCGTCTATTAATTAGCCATCTTGCTGGAATGCTGTGTGTTGCTGTGCATTCATCTTACAGCATTTGCAAATCCCCGGTTGGTACTGTAAGGGCCGTCACTTGTTCCGCAAGGTTTGAAACTTTCGTCTCAGCAAAATATGCAAAATCCGTTTTTGCGTTCACGACCCCCAAAAGACCTTGTGGATGGGTATCCCTTGCAAATACCATTTGAGACAGCTTCGCTGCTGCTTACAAATTCAACGTTCTTTTTCCACGTCTAACCTCCTTCCCTGCTACAGCACAGTTTGCCCAACAGCACAAGGATGTGAGAGAACATGTCAAGTGAAAGTGAGAGTAGTGTGTAGTTGAAGCATAGCATCAAGTTGAAGTAAAAAATATTAATCGTAGCATCAAGTTTGTGTGTCGAACTTTTAGTGTGTGCAAGTGCAATAGAACGTTATCAGCCAGATGGCACTTTCTCAAGGGACAGGGTAACCCAAGCCTGCTGGAATTACATTATGAAGCTGGCCTGCTTTGATTAAGAAAAACACCGTTGGATTGCCTGGGTACCACATGAAGGACAACGGTGGAAGTGTAAAACGAGCGAAACAAAGGATGTCAATTTTCCTCAAGTAGACAAAACCATGACCAATCTCCCCAAAGACCACATTGAAAATATATTGATTTTTATTTATTGGAGATCCCAATCAACTGTGTATCACTCAATCCCCGTGCAAGATCAGGAAAGTACAATAATTTGAATGTAATTGGTGTACATGGTTTTGTCTGAAAATTGGGTATCCAAAATCCACTGTTTAATCATCATTTTCCATATCACAATGGACATATACAGTTTTCAGCGTACAGCCCATTTTCAAACGGACGACAAACAACGATGTCATCTAATTACTGCTGGTCATACATGCATATTATATATATATGTATATGTATCCATCGTATATAGGTCATATCTATAAATATAGTAAGATGTTTAAACATATATATCTTATATATCAAACTATGTCATACATATATATATATATATATCTGAGATATAATGTATATATCTGAGATATAATGTATATATACATATATGCCGGCCTACACCATTGTTTCGGCCCATGGTCAGCGCACCTCTCATCCTCGCCGGTGGGCTCCGAGACGTTGGTGGCCAGCACATCCTGAGGGACACATTGGCAATGAAATATAAGTATCTATAATATTATTATAATAGTGGTATATTGGTAAATCTATAAATACTGAAATATTATTGGTACTGGTATATTATAATATTATAAGTAACAGTGGTATATATATATACATAAGTGGTTTTTTTGCAGTGGTTTTACAGTTGGAATATACATTTGGAACCGTGGTATATACAGTTGGAATATATAGTTGGAATATACAGTTGGAATATACAGTTGGAATATACATTGTATAACGGTTGATAACAGTGGAAGAAATACATAAGTAACAGTGGTTTCCAAGCGTTAATGTTGGTATATACATTCTATATGTTACAGTGATAACTATTGTTGGTATAGTTACTACCAATGACAGGACTATTGTTGGTATACTAACCATACAATGGTAATTATTGCTAGTATATAGTTACTATAGGAAAATGGCAATGGCAACTATTGCCACTATTGTCACTTGGTAGCATCCCAGTGGTATACATACAATGGCAACTATTGTCACTATATTTTACAGTGACAACTATAGGTATTAACATTGTTGATACTAATGGCAATGAAATAGGTATACTCGGGCAATGCTATGTAGTAAATAATACCAATAGTCACGCATTTTTGTATATAATTATTAGTCACCAAATATTGAATAATTACCAATACTCAACAATTGTTGAACAACTATGATATAAATAATCACCAATCAATTCTAGAAC